TCACTTTCTTACATACCATGCTCTCCTACCTTCTCTGTAGAGAAGTGTAACTTTTGAACAATACATGTAATATGGTTATCAACACAGGTAGATGGCATTGTCATTTTATAAAACAAAGGGATATAAAGTCCCCTGGGACTACCTTTATTGCCAAAATCTCATTTTCATAAAGCACTGAACTGCCTTTTAGTTTTCTTCATCTTATAAATGATATAATTTCTTAATAATTTTCTTTTTTTGGTTAATCCCTCTATTACACTGCAGGAAACATAGCTGCTTTTAAGTTTCCCTTATGTTGGATCTTACTGTTGTATTGATGGCGAACCTTTTGAGCTCGGCGTGTCAGCATTTTGAAAAACCCTAACTTAACTCTGGTCCCATGGCACATACAGAAATTTTTTGATATTTGCAACCATAGTAAAACAAAGACTTACATTTTTGATATTTATTTTATATATTTAAATGCCATTTAACAAAGAAAAATCAACCAAAAAAATGAGTTCACGTGTCACCTCTAACACGCGTGTCATAGGTTCGCCATCACTGTACATAGGCCCTACCCATAGTTTTATAAAAGATGTCTTATCAAGACCTGTTGTGGGAGCATGCCTGGTAAAGCCTGCAAGATGAATTAATTAGCCGCACCCGCCTAAATCAGGTTGTCTACCAGGGTGACTCAAAGGCCTCACTACATGCTTCTTTTTGTTCTCTGCTGGAAATGACATTTCTAGGTCAGGAATTCATTGCTGATTTTCTGATTACTTTGTGACTTTCTTCCCTTTTGCAGGAAGATCTGTTTCAACAGCCGGGCCGAAGGTTGGAATTTGAGCAAATCAGGGACTGTTTGGATACTGGAATGATTGAGAACCTTGATACCCTCTGTATCCTTTGTGTGTGTGTGTAAGAGAGGTGAGAAAAAGGAAATAATATTTTAAGGCTCAAAATCAGATATTGTGCCCTCAGCTATCATGTTTTTCTTACTTAAAGTTTGCATAGAGAAGTCTTCACAACGTTAAGCAACCAATATAGTAGGAACTAAGGAGGGCCCAGCTAAGCTGACATACAGCCTGGCTCCTTCCAGCTAGCAGGCAGGTAGCCCTTCTGGCATGTGCTCGGCCCTGGGCCTTTTCCTAACCATGGGCAGCAGCACCACCTGTTCCTTAACGACGGGCCAAAAGCCCTTAGCAATCATTCGGTAGCCGAAGCCTTGCTGCTTTTCCTGGAGAGCCTGCCAGAGCCCGTCATCTGCTACAGCGCCTACCATAACTGCTTGGAGTGTTCTGGCAACTACACAGCAAGTAAACAGGTGAGGGGAAGCACTGAGCATCAGCATACACAAGCTGTAGCCCCAGGCCTCCTGGGGCCTGAGGGAACAGAGCCAGTCACAGCCCCTCACATGTTTCTCATATCTTAGAAACTCACCTGTATCTTTCCTTCCCAAACCTGTTTTTCCTCTCCTCCCTTTTTTCTTTTAATGGCCTCACACTTAATTGTAGTGACTCAACCCAGAAACCTGAGTCATTTCTGACTCCTCCATTTCTCACCTCCCACATGCCCAGTCCCCTTGATCTGCCACCCATCTTTTTTCTTCTGTTCTCCTTCCACTTTCCTGGGTGCAAGGCCCTGCGCTGAGGCTCTCCCTCTGCTGATTTGTTCCATATACTGCCATTAGGTTGTGTTCTAAAGCTCTCATCGTGTTCCTGTTGGTCAAAGACCATACTTGGCTTTCTATTGCCGATGAATGATTTTCTTAAACATTCAAGGCTTTCTATGATCTACTCTAGTTGCTCACATATATTACAGAATCATCTAGAAAACCTGCTAATAATACAGGTCCTAGAGCCTCATCCCACTTTCACTCAATCAAAATCTCTTTGGAATATACTTTGTACCAGCTTCCTCACTGATTCTCCTGTGCAGTGGAGTACTCACTGAATTCTAGCCTGATCCCTTCCAGGCTTAGCGCCTCTTCAGTTATGCTCCTGCCAACAATGACTTCACACAAAGTGCTCTCTCCTTATTTCACTGTTTTCCTTCTCTTGTCCTTTTTTATGCTTTCTTTTGTCCTAAAAACCCTAGTCCTTACCTCTGCAAGTCCAGTCTTGTCTTATATTCAAGACCTATGTCTTCTATTTCCTTAAGTCTTTGGAGAGCACATAGTTAGAAGCTTGACCTCTAAATCCATGTAGTACTTGATTTGTGCTTCTCTCTCTCTTTTTATCTGTGCTTCTCTTTGGCACTTGTGCCAAATGGTAAGTGGTCAAGGTTTTCTGTGCACAGTCTTATTCATGTACTTGGATCATGCACTCAATTCCTGGAATATAGCAGACACTTATTTAATTGAATGAATAAAAAGGCAAATCCCAATTCTGCCTCTTTCAGGTCATTTCTACTCTCCCCACATTCCACAAAAATGTCTTCCACTACTTGCTGGCATTTTTGCGACAGCTGCTGAAAAATTCAGAAAAAAATCATTTGGATGAGAATATTCTAGGTAAGTAGCCAAGTGTCTGTGGGAAGCATCTCTGCAAGCTGAGAGACTCATTATAAGAAATGTGGTTGTGGAAGGTCCCAAGTCCACTAATAAAACTAAAATCTCAAGCTCTGGGCAAAGTTTACCTTCAAATAGGATTTAAAGCAGAAAATTTGGTTTTGGGGACCCTTCCCCCACTCATAAAAACACAAAAAAATTAGCACCTTCTTTTGCTGAATCATTTGTCTTCTGTGTTTTTCATGCAGCTAGCGTATTTGGCAGCTTACTGCTTCGAAACCCAGCTGGTCAACAAAAGCTCGAAATGGCAGAGAAGAAGGCTCAAGAATTCATTCACCAGTTCCTCTGCAACTCACCCTGAGCCTCTGTCTCTTCTCCTGTTTTACCGGAAGCATCCAATTACCAGCCCCACCTGTTTCCGTTGGAGAGTGGCCTTCGAAGGACGTGAGGCCACTTGGAAGCTAGAGTGGCAACTGCCAGCTTCCTGAGCCCAGGCCATTTCCCCCCACCATGGCTATCACACTTAGTGCTGCTGCGAGTTGTGAGGACATGAGAGAAACCCACCACAATAAAACTGACATGCAATGTTCAACTTTAGTTAATTTAACACAGATTATTTTTTTAAAGATTTTTTAAAAATTGATTTTTTAGAGAGACAGGAAGGGAGGAGAGAGGGAGCGAAACATTGATACGCTGCCTTCTGCCTGATCTCCCCCCCTCTCCCCCAGGGATTGAGCCCCCAACCCAGGCATGTGCCAGAGATGGAACCAGAAACCTTTTGGTGCACAGGACAATGCCCAACTGGTCAGGGCTCTATTTTATTTTAATGTTTAAATAACTGTACTTGTGCTCACTCAGCCTGTCTCCAGGGCATAATCAGTGCTTTCCCTGTCACCTGGGCTGAGCTCCCCATGATCAGATATTTGAACACACTTTGGAAGTGAAAGGAGAATAAGATGACTTGGACAAGAATGCGAGTGGCAGCTGCAGGGTAAATAGGCTATAGCCACCCAGATGCTTCTAGCACGCTGTGTACCTGTGTCCATACAGATGCAAACCCTATTCCCTTTCCTGCTCAGATGTCGTGCAACACCTCCGGGGCTGGCCACTCAGCCACGGCGGTCAATACAGTGGCTTGAAAATGAAAATACGGAAGAAATTGGTGTTCTGGTTAAACAAGTGGGACTTTCTGGGCCAGCAAATTCTCCAAACTGTATTTGATGCATTCCCTCTCTCATATGTGTAATATATTTTAATGATAAATGTTATTTTTAACAGTGATTATTTGTGTTTTTATTTCTTAAGAGATGGCAGTTCTCTGCGGCTGGACTTCTGCAGCATAAGCATTGGGTGGCTGGTCAGGGGCCAGAGAGAGATTTGCCTGGCATCTGGTGGGTGCAGTCACTATTCACATTTTTTAAAAAATATATATTTTTATTGATTTTTTACAGAGAGGAAGGGAGATAGTCAGAACCATCGATGAGAGAGAAACATTGATCAGCCGCCTCCTGCACATCCCCCTCTGGGGATGTGCCCGCAACCCAGGTACATGCCCTTGACCGGAATCGAACCTGGGACCTTTCAGTCCGCAGGCCGACGCTCTATCCACTGAGCCAAACCGGTTTCGGCTATTCACATTTTTCAAGCAAGAGATGGGACAGGCATGGCCTGAACCCCTTGACTGGTGGTCTAGTCTCGGGGGGTTGTTGCACATGGAATATTCCATACACGTAGCTTAGGGGAAAAACAGGTGCTGGCTGCTGGGATGTTCTAACAGCTGGATCTTCCAGGGACTTAGAAAATTGTAGAGCATAATGACACCATAATCAAAATTGCTCCTTGGGCCCTGAAACACCACTACTTGGCAGTGTAAAATGTGACTTACTAGGAAGTACCAGCCAGTAGCATGACGATGTGAGCCGTTGGGAATGGCCAGTAGGTGGCGCTGGCCGCCCCGGCGCGAGTCCGGCTGGGAGCCCACAGTCCTCAGCCTGGGAAATTCGGACAGACCGCGGCGCAGGAGCGAGCGACTGCGCTCCTGTGAGCTCACGCGCGGGGGAGAGGCGGCGGCGGGCTCTGGCTGGGCTGGGAATACTCCCTAGTTCCGACCTTCAGGTTCAATCTTCCTTTCTCGGACCCTCCGGCTTATGTTCATTAACTTTGCTGGGTGATGAGGAGAAATGGCGGGAGTGCCGCAGCCTTCCATGCCACCCTGCGGGTCCCAGCCGGAATTCGGATACCTAACTGTGGTCTTTTCTGTGGCTGTGATGGCTGCCATG